GTCGACGTTGAACGGATCCGCCGTCTTCTTTTTCAAACTGTACTGGACCCTCTCGTGCCTAAGAAAAAGAAATCGTTAGTAAATGCCACGCGAGGACAAATCGGGAGTAGTTTTAGGGGGGGGGGGGGGAACTCACCTCTGCCTCCTCGGCACCCTTGAACGTCCCCCTGCCGAGTGCCTCGCCGAACCGGCTCGCTTTCTGAATCTTGGCCATCTCCTTGTCGCCCGCCGCCTCGTCCTCGTCGTCGTCCATGTTTGCCTTGGGCCGGTAGATGCTGCTGATGGCGTCTTGGGCCGCAAACAGCGGCTTGTCGTAGGGGTTGTCCTCGTTGAAGCCGCTGTCGAATCCGCTCGACTGGTTGAACAGGCGCGAGTCGTACATGGTCTCCTTGGACTGGGTGGGCTTGGCCAGGCCGAGGGCAATCTTCTCGGATATGTCGCGGTTCTGCTCGCGCGCCATGACCTGCACCCTCCGCTCGGCGCCCATGCGCGACTGGCGCAGCTTCCTCTCCTCCTCGCGCATCTTGTCCTTGCGCGCCCTCTCGCGCTCGCGCACCTCGGCTTCCTCGCTGTCGGAGCCCGAGTCGGAGCCGCTGTAGCTGCGCGAACGCGAGCGTGACCTCGAGTCTCGCTGGCCGGCGCCGGCGCGCTCCTCGCGCGCCTGCTGCGCGAGCATGCGGAGGTTTTCCTCCTTTTGTTCCTTCTCCTTCTCGGCCAGGCGCTGCTGCATCTGGGCGCGCTGCCTGACCTCCTCGCGGGCGTGGCGGTCGGCCATGTGCAGGGCCTCGGAGAACTGAGCAAACTTGTCGTTGACGGTGACGTCCTGCATGCCGCGGCCGTCGGCGGCGAGGCGCTTGTCGAGGGCAATGGTGAAGCCCTTGGGGTTCTTCCAGTTGGAGATGGGCGGCGGGATCCTCCAGTTCTCCTGGTCCTCGGCCGTGGCCTTGCGCGGGGGCGAGTGCATGACGGGGGGCGGCGGGCTCGGCGGGCCGCGGGGGATCTTCTTGTGCTTGAACTTGGGGGGCTCGAGGGGGTCGCGCTGGCGCTCGACAATCTTCATGATGCGGTCCTGCTTCTTCGAGTTGTCGCCCATCTGGTTGGCCGGCGTGTAGCGCACAAAGGTCGGGTCGGCGCGGTTGCCGACGTTGATGTTCTTGGGCTTCTGGGCGGCGACGGCGCCGCTGACGAGGGCGGCGAGGGCGTTCTTCGTCTTCTCGGTCGTCGCGGCGACCCTCGTCGCGGCTGGGGCGCGCGAGGTCAATCTCGCCGGCGTCGGCACGCTGTCGGAGGGGGATGAGGTCCTTGAAGGACGCGTGGATGATGCGGCTGTCATTGTGGCCCTGGCGGGCAATGGCGCCGTAGTCGACCTTGCCTTCGGCGTCGACCTGGACGGCGAGGGCGTTGCTTGCCGTCGCCGACTTTTGGCCCATCGACAGAGGGTACTGGGCGACAGGCACCTCGGGGAACGCGCCGCCGTCGCCAAAATCCTCCTGGCCGCTCGGCCGCCATCCCGTCCGCTGGCCATAGGGGGGTGGTCCTGTTCTCTGTGGTGAGACGTCAGCATGCTGCACGAGCGTGGTCTTCCTCGGCGGGGGGTGGCTGACCCTCAGCACGACCTGGGTCTGGTCGAGGTGTCCTGCACCGACGATGCGCGGGCCGCGCTGCTGGGCGTGTGCAGGGGCGTCATCCTCGCCGGCGTACTTTGGTGTCGGGAGCGCTGAGGCGAGAGCGGCCGATATGGATGCCATGGCGCCAGATGGGGAGGTTGTGTCGTGGTTTGCAAGGCGGAGGGGGAGGGGGGGGAGGGCGTTGCGAAAGGCGAGGTTGAGCAGTTGCCTATCTGAAGGCTAGAAAATCCCAAAGCAGGTCGAGAAGGCTGACGGCTTGACCAAAGCTGTTTGGCTGTCGTTCTGTCAGGCTTTTCTCCACCCTGAGGGCTAGTCCTCTTTAGGCGGCTCATGGACGGATTAGACGAAACGTTGGCTCGACGGTGACAGTCACCTCTCAGCCAGCCGAGGAGAGATGCAACTAGGATATGTAGAAAGAGCTCAATTGTTTTCGGCTGATCAATGCCATGCAATAATACCATTGTCTTGGCATGAAACCCTGTCCAGAAGTGTCATGTCGTGTCAATACACAAGAAACTGGCTGTCGCTGCTCAGCTACAGTATTTTACGGTACCTTAGCCCACCACCATCTGTCTCCCTCCAGTCTGTCATAACTCGAGGCCAAGCTCGACAATTGACTTTTTTGGACATTATTTTGCGTTCATCCCCTTCTTGGGTCATCCCTTTCTGGCCAATTCTAACTCCTATAACTGGCATGCCATCGGCGGTGGAATGGGTGATGTGCCATGTAGACTACCTAAGGTACGTAGACTACCTAAGGTACCTTAGGTAGGTAGGTACAGCAACTGCTGCGTCATATGTTGGCCCTCGCAGTACCGCTGTAGGTACACTGTACCTTCGTTGGTGATGCAGTGCCCCCACCGCGGGGTCCAAAGCTTCGTGTGCCCATCTCACAGCCTCGATGGCAGCCTTATTCCACTACGCCACCGCGGCCTCGCCATACATTGCATTTAATTGATACGTCGTGCTTCCAGATTCTCATCATGGGGCCTCGAACCGCCCTCGTCACCGGCGCCACCGGCCTCCTCGGCCGACAGGTTGTCAAGGCCTTTGAGACGCACGAGTGGAACGTCAAGGGCACTGGATTCTCCCGTGCAGACAACGTCTCCGTCTTCAAAGTCGACCTGGGGGGACGCAGCCGAGGTGCAGAAGGTGATAGACGATACAAAGTGAGCCTCTGGGCGCCGCCCACCCACGATTGACCCGTGCTAAACAATTCACCAGCCCCCAAGTCGTGGTCCACTGTTGGTGACCCCCCCCTCCCCCACTGGACAAGCCATGGTAGTTTGCTGAACGTGAACATCAGGTGCCGCTCAGAGGTTTCCTGACAAGGTCGACAAGGACCCGGAAGCGAGCAAGGCGCTCAACGTCGAGGCGACGCGGTCTCTTGCCAAGCTGTGCGCCGACCGCTCGGTTCTGCTCATCTACATCTCAACCGACTACGTCTTCTCGGGCAAGGAGGGCGAGGCGCCTTATGAGGCCGACGCCCAGACTGGACCCACCAACCTGTACGGCCAGACGAAGCTCGACGGCGAGCTGGCTCTCCTCGACGAGTACATGAAGGCCGGCAAGGAGGCCCTCGGCGTCGTCCTCCGCGTGCCGGTCCTCTACGGCCACGCCGACACCCCCGCCGAGAGCGCCACCAATGTCCTGCTCGACACGCTCTGGAAGTCCCAGGAGGGTGTCAAGGTGAAGATGGACCACTGGTCGATCCGCTATCCGACCAACACGGAGGACGTCGGCCGCGTCGCCCACGGTAGGGAGCAGAATCACCCCCCCACGCCGAGCTGCGTCGACGACTAACGTGCGGCCTGCAGATGTTGCTGTCAAGTACCTCGACACGGAGGATACGTCGGCCCTCCCACGCATCCTCCAGTTCTCCAGCGAGGACAAGATGACCAAGTACGAGATTGTGCAGACCTTCGCCGACATCATGGGCTTGTCCATGGATAACGTCGAGCCGAACACGGAGGGAAACGACCCCAGCGCCAGCGTCCAGAGACCTTACGACTGCCACTTGAGCACCAAGGCTCTTCAGGACCTCGGAATCGAGGTGTGGACCAATGATTTCGTCGGATGGTGGCGTCGTGAGGTGCACGCGTTCCGTCACTGAGGCCATGAGCTAGGTCGGGCCGGGTTGTCAGGTTAGGGCGGCAACCAAACTTGTTGGAGCCCTGCTGCCGAAGTTTGGCTGTGATTTTATAATTCGCGTCTGGATGGATCAATTCCAGAAGCTGGCTTGGAGTATCCTTGCGAGCATGTCCATTTGAAGTCGGGTGCCGAACTGTTTGTTTGGGCAAATCATACTCAATGAATGTAGCGAAAATCTGGACTAGGGCATAGGCAAGGAGCTAAAGTTGTCATGTTGTGATCCGGGATGCAAGTTGCAAGTGCCACGATCGCCACAGCCGTGAGGCACACCCTCGTAGTCTGAGTGCATTCTCCATGCAATACAGGATCCTTCGAATCCTTCGCGCGGGGCGCGCCGAGAGAACGCAGCACTTCAATCACTTCGGCCACTTCATTCCGTCGACTTGCACGAGACAACGACGAACCAGCACACGAGGGCTGCGATGAACGATGCAGATGCAACGAAAACTCGGCCCTTCGTGTCGTCTCGCATGCTCATGTAGGCACGAGAACGGACTATTGGGTATCTTGTCTAGGACTGCTGACAGGAGAGCATGCCAACGTTGGGGTCATCGCGTCGAATCCTTCGGTTCCTGCAACCGTCTTTCCTTTCCTCTGGTGGTTCCACAGCCTGATGCATACGGTATGGATCCCAGGAGGTTTACGTCTGTTATCATTCACATAGAGGAGCATGTCCTCCACGTTGGCCACCTGGCCATGAATGTTGCCTGCTTCGGCCCGCATACTGTGCGGCCTCTGCCTTGGCATGCGCTTTACTGACGATCTGATCAGCACCCAGAGAGACTTTGGCTGCTGAGCTTTTGGGGTGTTCATTTATTGGCATGACCAGTTCATGAACATTTGCTTATTGACGAAGGGAGTCATCAAGGTAACAAAGATGTTGTTCTTACGTGGAAACCTTTTCAGCAGGCCTCATGTGGAAAGCCAGAACATGGTTGTCTATGCAGAAAGTAGCTTCCAGGCAAACCAAGATGCAATGAAACGACTTTCTTCATCGTGTGAGTCTGTCGCTTTCCACTGCCACAAACAAAGTCTCACCGGAGTTACAGAATCGCCACCCACTTTGCCTAAACTGTTGCGTAGCACATCAACTCTAAGCGCAGTGTTGCAATTGGCGACGATGAATCCGTAAACGGAACGGGGACCCGTCTTCCGCTTCGTAAACAATCTTTGCTACCTATTCGTCGTCACTGAGTGCATTCTTTCAGGGCGAAGCGAATAGCGAGCATACACGAGCAGCGATAATGTAACATGGAGTTCAAGAGTTGCTCAGCAGGGCGACATGAGCTGGTTTGAAAAGTATAAGAATGGCGGTCTTTCCAGAAGAGAAGAAGGCGGTGGCTCGACAACAACAAGAAGAAGTTCTACAGTATCTCTCGATTCAAACTCGGCCAATTCTCTCACTGTAAGTTACCCTTTCGGGACATTCGATGATCCCACAACGAGTCAAGGAGCTAACAAGAAATGGCGATAAAGCCACACACCAATCGAGAATGAAGTTCACTACTGTCCTCGTCGGCCTCGTCGCCTTCTTCTCCACGGCCGCCATGGCTCTGCCCTCGCCCGTCGGCGCCGAGACTGTGGACAAGGACCTCGAGAAGCGGCAGATGTGCAGCCCCTGCTATCGCGGCTTCCGCAGCTGCTGCAGCACCGGCGGAAACTGCTACACGGCCAAGTGCTAGGGTGTCGAGGCCTCGAAATGGGCTGACGTGGACGAGATGATCTGGCCGAGACCAGATGTGAATGGGTGCATCCATTTTCTTTGGATATCACTTGACAATGTGGAGATGACGTTGGATTCAGGTCAGGTTCTGAGACCATCTACCTTGGGTGCAAGAGACACGAAGAATAGCATCCCGGATCAACACGAATAGCTTTTTTTTATTGTTATTTTATTTTTGAAATGGTGATCAGGATCAGTTCTAATTATGTTTAGGTGGCTTGAGACAAGACACTCACCCGACGGGTCGGTCCTCGGGTTGGACGCCACGGAGCCACTTACACCTTGTGCGTCATGCACATTCTTCGTGCTGGGGCCCGCGGCATGAGATGGTGCTTTAGGAGCTGGGAAAAAGATATGTGTTGCTGATGGCTACGTGAAGATGTCCGTCTGGTGTTCTGCCTCCCGACCTGACAGACAGATATCCCGCCAGGGTTAGGGTTGCGCCCCACCCACGCGTCGAGACCCTGCATGGCTCAAAGTAGCAATGGCAGGGCGGAAAGTATTTTTACGCCGAAATGTAGTGCAGTGAAACCTCACGGACCGCCAGGCTCGGGCGCCCTTGCAGGGAAGCGCGGGTGGGCTAGGCAAGTAGCCTCTGGCCCTACGGACCCTACGGACCTGCATGTCGCGGCGAATTATGCTACCCTTAATCGCTAGGCTACGAGGCAGCCCCAGGCGATGATGACTGCCTGCCTTACTGTAGGGACCTAGATACAGTACCTAGGTAGGTACGTGGTACCCAAGGCACAAGTCAAAGGCCAGCGGATGGCGACGATCACGATCGAAACAAATGGTGGGCCGCCCGTCTCACCGGGGCACCTAGACCATGTCATCACCAATTGAGACTTGCATCTCAAAGCAAAGTTTTTCTTCCTTCTGCCGTTGCCCGAGTATTGCTTCGGCCCCCAAAAAAGCAACAAAGCGGTGCAAGGGCTCAGCAAGGGCTCAGCAAGGGCACAGCAAGGGCACAGCAAGGGCACAGCAAGGGCAGACAGACAGAGCCTGTGAGCGAAATAGCGCCCAGATCAACGACACGCAACGCCTCACACTCTGTCGGCTGATGGCCTGCTGCTCGTCCCACTCGAAGAGACCAGGGACCAGGGACCGTGGACCATCCATCACCCAACCTCGTACAGTCGTCTCTGCCCCCCCCCCGCGTTTTCCATTCCAGGTACCGTGCCTCCCCTCCCCCCCCCCTCGACAGCCCTCGTGCGCACAATGGCAGTCCCCTTTCCTTTCGCGAGGACCTTTGCGCGACTTGGCATCCCTTGAGACACAATTTCTGCGATTTGGCATTGCCGACCACCTGCTCCTATTCTGTTCTGCCGACTTTTTCCAACACACATCGTAAAGTCGACGATCGATCTCCTTCCGACGACTGCCAGGTGCATCGCGAAACCTTCCTTTCGTAGCAACCAGCCCCACACAAGCAAACAGCTTCGGCAGCCAGACTCTGCTGCGACTCTGCTGCAGACCAGAAAGCTGCGACTCTGCTGCAGACCAGAAAGCGGAAGCGGACGACCACAAGGCAGGCAAGGTCCCGTTGATCGACAGCGTCCTGTTGAGCGACTGCCTGGGCGATCCCCGAAGCTTGTACTACTTTACGACAAGACGATCTGGAGCGCCATGCGACTACGTCGACATTGTTCATCTTGAAACCCACACCACCACCACCACCGCCAGCCACAGCCATGCCCTCCAATAACTTCATCCACGCGGGCGGCGTCGGCGGCGGCGTCGTGCCCCAACTGGATGCCCCTCACTCCGCCAGCAACGCAGGCGACCGCGTAAGTTGGCCCACCTGCCTGCCCCTCGCTCGCGTGCCTCGCGGACCTCACCTGCGTGCCTTGCAAACCTCGCCCGGCTGACCATCTTGACAGAGAGTGACGATCCGATGCCTGCAGTCCTCCATCAGCCTGCCCGTCACGCCTGATACATCGCCCGTGGACCTTTTATTCTCCGCCGCCAATCTCATGAGCCACAACATTGACCCCCAATCCAGCATTGTCGTCGAGTGCTACTTCTCTTTCGGTCTCGAGCGTCCACTGCGGCGCTACGAGCGCATCCGAGATGTCCTCAACTCGTGGGAGCGCGACGTCCAACACTCGCTTCTCATCATCCCGGGCGGCGCTGCAGAAATCAGCTCGGACCTGAGCATCGAGTCTGTGCCGCGCTCGCACGATGCGCCGCCCGGCTTCATCAACTTTCCCATGAACCTGTCGCACAGGCCCGGCCGCTGGAACAAGCGCCTCATCACCCTGCTCGAGACGGGCCAGGTCTACTCGCACAAGAAGCCCGACGCGAAGCTGTCCGACAAGGACAGCACCGCCCTCTGCAACCTCTCCGATTTTGACGTCTACCAGGTGACCGACCAGGACATGCTGAAGCGTCTCAAGGTGCCCAAGAAGCACGTGCTCGCCATCAAGAGCCAGCAGAAAAACAGTGTCTTCCTGAACACGGAGAATTTCATTCACTTTCTCAGCACCGACGACACGACGGCCGCCCGCAAGCTCCACAAGAGCGTCCAGGAGTGGCGCAGCTGGTATCTGGTCAACAAAAAGGTCGACCTCGCCAAGAAGGAAAAGGCACTGCAGACGAACCACGACAGGCTCCACGTGGAAAAGCCGACAGATATTGTCAAGAGCGGGCACCACCGCCTCAAGGTGTCCGTGGACGAGACGCCGTATACCATTGGCAAGTTTGAGCCGCTTCTCGACATGAACAGGTTCGACAAGCCGCTCGAAGAGTTTGGCAAGGACTTTCTGCCAGAAAAGCCCGCCGAGAAGCAGAGGCCGCCTGTGCAGAGGACCACGGCCAGACCCACGACGGCGACGCGGCAGGCGATTGCCAGCCCTCTGCAATCGCCCCGCGCGCCCGTCTCGCCGCCGCAGCGCATCGACCCTTTTGCGCGGGAAGACGAGTTCAAGTCGAATGGGCTGCTGGGCAAGGTATACGAGGATCGCAAGCACCACGCCGAGCTGGCCGAGAGGACGTCGGATGATTCTCCGGCAGAGGGACCCTTTACAGGCGGACTCCTGCAGAACCGCTTGCAAGAGGAGAGTCGGCTGCAGGAGCCGAGCCGGCAAGCGAGGTCACTGGACAGGAGCAACACGAAGAGGAGACCGTCTGCGCCCCCTGAACGGAGATTTCAGCTCGACGCCACCGCCGAGGAACCGCCCCTCGAGAGCCCGTTCACCGGCGGTCTGCTGCAGACCCGTCTGCAGGAGGAGAGCCGACAGGCCCGGTCACTCGACCGCAGCAACACGCGAAGGCGACCGACGGCCTCCGAGCGTCGATACCAGCCCGAGGCGTCGCCCGAGCCCGCCGTCCCCGTCGCGGGGCCCTTCACTGGCGGCGGCCTCCTGCAGACGCGCAATCAGGACCCAGCCAGGCAGACGCGCGCCCCTGAGCGCGCCAACACGCTGCGTGGCGCCTCGGCCGAGCAGCCCTCGATGCCGCGCCAGCCAGGCCGCGCGCGTGCCCGCACGAACCCGCGCCCGCCGACCTCGGACGGCGCCTCGTACGGCAAGCTCGCCGAGAAGCCCCAGCCGCTGCTCGACCTCTCCAACACGCCGCGCGTGCCTGACCTGCCGCAGGCCTGGCGCGAGGCGCACGGACGCGGCGTCCGCGTCCCGCACGGCGCGCCCCTCGTCAGCATGGCCACCGACTCGCGCGAGCAGCAGTACGGCCACCTTGGCGGCAGTGGTCTGGCGGCGCTGCCGCCGACCATGGCGACAACGGGCCTCGCGCGGCGGGGCACCACCAAGACGACAAAGTCAAGCCCCAGCGCCGCAGCAGCGGCGACGACGACGACAACGACAACAACGGGGGGCCTCGAGCGGTCTGCCACGAGGGCCAGGTCAGGCACGAGGGCGCGGTCGAGCACGAGGGTGCGGAGCGCCTCCACCGCTGCGCCGGCGCAGAGGAGGGCGGCGTCGCACGAGCAGCACCAGCACCAGCAGCCGCCTGTTCCGCCCATGCCGACCAAGTCGCCCGTCGTGCGGCCTTCGAGGCGCAGGGACGACGATGAGGATGTGCCGCTGATCAACTTTGTCGAGCGGGCGAGGGGGCGGGACCCGATGGCCAGGGGCGTGGAGATGAGGACCCGGACCGGGCCGTTACAGGGTTGATAGGGGGTTTTCTGTACCGATGTGCTTTGCTTGGGTCTGTAACGAGTTGGCCTTGGCGTTATGATGGCATGAGAGGCAGAGATGGGGGTTCATGGCTTCCCTTTTTCTCAGGGAGGATTCCATGTACCTGGGACACGCACATGCATATTCAACGATTGAGGCTGTAAGTTTCTTGTTGTTTTAAACATCCTGTAAGGCCAACTAAATGGCAGGAAAAGGCAAGTCATCACTAAAGGGGTGGGGAAACACCAACGGCGCAACACAATACACACAAGTTAAAGATGCAGTCCTCTGTTCGTGTGTACCTAGTTTGTCCATTGACTTTTCACATGGGCCGTCGTCAAACACACTCTATATCATTACTATCAATCGTATCCGCGGTGTAGGTATCTTCTTCTTCTTCTTCTTCGTTTTGGCAACAAATCATCATCTCCCCTGCCTGCTCCTCGCCTGCCAGGCCAGGCCAGGGCAGGCCTCGCCTCGGGGCACACCGTCTATTTGGTGCGCTTGTAAATCTTGGCGAGGAAGGCGTCAAAGACGGTCTTCTTGAGGCCCTCACTCTCGTCAATGTTGTTGATCATGTCGCGGATCTCGGCGGCGCGCTTCTCCTCAAAGGCCTCGTAGCGGTCCTTGAGCTTGAGGTCGTCGTAGAGCTTCTTGACGACGGCCTCCTTGGCCTTGTCCTTCTGGCCGTAGTTGTCCTCGAGGATCTGGCGCTGCTCGGGGCCGGCGATCTGCAGGGCCTGGTTGACGAGCCAGCCGCACTTGTTGTCCATAATGTCGGTGCCGATCTTGCCAATGTGCTCGGGCAGGCCAAAGTTGTCGAGGTAGTCGTCCTGGACCTGGAAGTACTCGCCGAGGGGGATGAGGATGGCCTCGGCCTGCTTGAGGTTGTTGGGCGTGGCAATGTTGAGGCAGTGCAGGGCGAGGGCGACGGGCAGGTAGAACGAGTAGTAGGCCGTCTTGTAGATGACGATGAAGCTGTACTTGTCCATGGAGAAGTTGTCGAGGTTGACCTTGTCCTCGGGGGCCGTGAGCAGGTCGCAGAGCTGGCCCATCTCCGTCTCAAAGGTGACGTCGTGGAAGAGCTCGATGAGGTCGACGTAGGACGGGTGCGAGCGGAAGAACTTTTTGAGGAGGGTGTAGATGGCGGCCTCGAGCATGAAGGCGTCGTTGATGGCGACCATGCCGACGCCCTCGTGGCGGTACCAGCAGGGCTTGCCGCGGCGCGTGATGGACGAGTCCATAATGTCGTCGGAGACGAGGAAGAAGGCCTGGAGGAGCTCGGTCATCCAGCCGAGGGTGGCGGCCTCAAAGTACTGCTCCTCGGTCAAGGGCTTCTCGAGGAGGAGGGAGACCGAGTCGGGGACGGACATGCCGCGGTTGCACTTGCCGCCCAGCGTGTTGATCTCAAGACTCTGCAGCACGCCTCGTTAGCCAAGTCTCGCAGCTTGAGCCAGTTCGCTGGGTATATACACCTTTTTGTACCACGCGAGCTCCTCCGCGGGGAGCTTGTACTTCTGGGCATGCTCGACGAGGACGGCCTCGAGCTTGGGGAAGACGGCCTCGAACTCCTTGAGGGTGGTTTTTTGCGCCATGGTGAAAGGTGAATGTGATGGGTGCTGGGTGCTGGGTTCGAGGGGCGAGGTCTCTCTGGGTTCAGGTGTCCTGGAGCAAAGTAGGTAGGCAACGAGGAGGGTGGTTGTCACAACAATGGCTGACCGTTGGGAAATTTACCGCTATTTTAACAGTCGCAATTTATCGGGTCGTCTTGGGTCTTGGTCGCACCGAAGGGGGGAAAGGGGGGGGGGGGAAGTGAGGAGGGGTCTGCCCCAGCTGCCCCTCCTTCGCCTTCTGAACGGGCAGGCGGTCAGGGCTCGAGACAGGGGACCGTCAGGGGGGGAAGGGGGGAGACCCAGGGCGGGGCAGCTGTGAAGGGGGGCTGGCAGCACTGGAAGGCAAGCGCTGTCGGGCTGGAACGGGGCGGCACCTTGCCGCGTCGCGCGCCTCCCAGGGACTTTGATCATTGGATACCTACCTCCAAGGTAGGTACTCTAGGTAGGTACTCCAAGGTAGGTACTCTAAGGTAGGTACCTAGGAAGGTAGGTAGCTCTCAATGACATCGTGAGCTGTGTTCCAGCAAACCCGACTCCATCAACGAGCCCTTACCACGTCAGGGCAATCAACTGCAACGCGCGCATCCCTGACGAGAAACCAGGTCGACCACTCACCGCCAAGTCACTGGCTGAGTCACCAATTGCCCTTCACAAACGCGTCGCCTCATGCAGACCAACACAAACCCAATTCGCCGTGCTGAACTGGATCTGCCCGCCCTTGGTCCTCTTGCGACCGGCCGGTACCACACGCCGCGGCCAAACGCGACACTGACGGCGCGTGGCTGAGAATGCCCCAGACATGTCCCTGAATGCGCATGACCTCGCACAGCTCCGAGCTGCCCTGCAAGATGCAGTGGTCAAGTGCTCGGAGCGCTGCCTCTACCAGTCGGCAAAGTGGTGAGCTTCGTCCCTGCGGCCGAACAGACAGACAGTCTTGCGAGTCGACTCTAACGCGTCGCTCTTAGGGCCGCCGAGCTTCTCGATGCCATACCAGACCCCTCGCACGAGGCACAGCCAGACGAGTCCACTCTCCCTTCTGTCCCCGTTGTGTTGACCGCCAATCCGGACCCCGACGAGGCCCTTCTTGAAGCGAAGGAAGTCAACAAATACCTGCTCGCCAAGTCCTTCTTCGACTGCCGCGAGTTTGACCGATGCGCCGCCGTCTTTCTCCCAGACTCCATGCTGCCGGGCATAATAGACCCGAAGCGTGAGAGTGTCGGCGGCACACCTAGCGGCAAGGGCAAATCGAGAGCCTTGCATGATGATGCGCCGGCAACTGTCGAGGGTGGTGCGTTGCCCAATCTGAGCCAGAAGAGCTTGTTCCTGGCTCTGTACGCCAAGGTCATGTCGGGCGAGAAGCGCAAAAACGAGGACTCGGAAATGGTTATGGGCCCCCAGGACCTCGGCACCGTCGTCAACAAGCAACTCCTGCCGGTGGGCCGCTTCCTCAGCCGCTGGTTCGAGCAGCGGACCGCCGAGGATGGCGATATTCTCGGCTCCCAGGGCTGGCTCGAGTACCTGTGAGTTTGCCGTGCTGATTCTGATGCCCTGGCGCGTGTTGTGACTGACAAGGGTCGTCTAGATATGGCATGGTACTCGCCAAGGAGAAGAACGAAGACAAGGCCATGGAATACTTCATTCGCAGTGTTCACCTGTTCCCCATGAACTGGGGCTGCTGGCTTGAGATGACTTCTCTCATCACGAGGCTCGAGGATGTAGGTTGCTGCCGTTCACCTTTTGATCTTGAAGACAACCTGCTAACGGGTGTCAGCTCAACCGCGTCTCGCGACACCTACCGCAAAACATCATCTCCTTCATTTTCCACCTCCACACATCACTCGAACTGTACCAGCAAGGGCCCAGCCTGGCCAACTCTCTGGACCAGCTTCTCGGCATCTTCCCGACCTCGGCATTCCTGCTCACCTGCAACGCCCTCCTCGCCTACCACGCCAAAGATCTCGCAGCTGCCGAGCAGCACTTTAGCCGCCTGCTGTCGCTCCACCCCTATCGCTTAGACTCGCTCGACCACTACTCGAATATTCTCTACGTCATGGAGCTGAGGCCGAAACTTGCCTTCATCGCTCATCTGTGCTCGAACATTGACCGCTTCCGTCCAGAGTCCTGCGTCGTCGTCGGAAACTATTACTCTCTCCTGTCCATGCACGAAAAGGCTGTGCAGTATTTCCGCCGCGCCCTGACGTTGGATCGCACGTGTCTGTCGGCGTGGACGCTGATGGGCCACGAGTACGTCGAGCTGAAAAACACGCACGCGGCCATCGAGTCGTACCGCCGCGCCGTGGACGTCAACCGCCGCGATTACCGGGCGTGGTATGGCCTCGGCCAGACGTACGAGGTGCTGGAAATGCACACGTACAGTCTGTGGTATTACAAAAAGGCCGCCGGCCTGCGCCCGTGGGACGCCAAGATGTGGGTGGCCGTCGGGTCCTGCCTGCAGAGGATGGGCCGGGAACGGGAGGGCATCAAGGCTCTCAAGCGGGCGCTGCTCGCCGACGCGTACTACGACGTGGGGAGCAGTTTCGGAAGCGGGGACATCCTCAGCGGACGGGGCGCAACGGGCCACATGGACCCGGACGTGCTCTTCCAGATTGCATTCATGTACAACGAGATGGGCGACATGGACGAGGCAAAGTCGTACATGGAGCTCTGCGTCGCGCAAGAGGACGGGGGCGCCGGGGACACGGCGCTGGCGGAATCCATAGCGATACACAACGACTCCCCTGGCGCATCCGACGACGAGGACGGCCAGGACCGCGAGAGCGCGGCGCGGGAAGGAACGGGCGTCACGGCGGCAACGAGCCGTGCGCGCATGTGGCTCGCGCGGTACGCCATGGACACGAATGACTACGAGGCCGCCGACAAGCTGGCGACGGAGCTCACGCAGGACGGCTATGAAGTTGAAGAGGCCAAGGCCCTGGTCAGGGAGGCGCGGTCCCGACTGGTGGGATATGAAGAACAGGTCCTCAGCCCGTGACAGGGCCTGGCCTGACCATCCCGTCGCGACGTAGACCTAGCTAGCTGCCTTTCTGGGATTCAAGCGCAGGCGGTAATGAAGCACGGATTTATGAATTGACCACCTGCCTGCCTGCCTGCCTGCCTGCCTGTCGCTTGCACAGCTCCAGGTTGAACAAAGCCCTTTTCGGCGATCGATCGAGCTTATCGGTGTGATATGGTCTACTGCTTCCCTGGACTTGTCCACCGACACGCCCGCCCATTACCCGCCGATGGTTCCGTGACGCAGCTGCATGTGCATCAATGGCTCCCCGGGGGGCAGCCCTCTGACAGGCTCAGCGCCGGATACGAGACGGCCGCCGTCCAATCCCCGTCCTGCTCGGATAACAAGCTCTGCTGGCATTCAATCAGGGCTCTCTCGCTTTTTGGGTTTCTTTTCATCCTGGGGAGGCGTTCATGCGAGGTGGGGCAGCAGTGGGCTGACGACCTCTCGTCGAGCTGGAATGTCACCCTGTTACATTCGTCTCGTCTATTTACGAAAACATACAAGTGTAAAAGGCATGCGCAGTGCAGTGCAGTGCAGCCAGCGTATTGCAAAGGCGTCAGTGACAAGTGGTAGTGCAGGCTGCCCATGCAGGACACCTCGGTGAGTCGAAGCCGGCGAAAGGCGACTAGCGAATAAGCATGGGGGGTCAGGTCCTTGATTCTTTTTCTTTCTTGTTTCTCACTTTGCCGCATTCGTATTCCGTGCCTTGAACCGACAGGTGCGCTGTTTTTCTTCCCACCGTTGACCTCCAGCTACCGAGGTGCCTGCCTAGCTAGCTAGTAAGCACGCGATAAGAGAAACGGAGTGTGTCTGACATCACACGCACACGAGTTCATCCCGGTTGAGAGTTTGCCCGCCGGACCTGGAATGGTCTGGTGGGTCTACGTTGCACGCAAGTTCAGCCTTTCGTGTTTGTGTGGGGTTGGGTATTGGAGGATTCGGGGGCCTCGAGCTTCGATTCTCTTCTAGTCTCTCAGATTCCTAGCCTTTCCTCCTATGCAAGGAGTGTGTGTATGTGTGTTTTCATGAGGTCGTTGCGCCTTGGTGCGAAGCCTAAACTCCCGTCCCTCATGCCGGTAATGACTGTACTTGTCCATCCGGCTGGCTCTGCGCCAGCTTTCCTGTCCCGTTTCCAACTCCTGGTGCCCGTGAAGACTTAAGTTAAAAATGAGTATGTGTGTATATATGTGGCCCGAATCCCAAAAAGAGTGTAAAGAAGAAGAGTGCCGCCGTACACATGATAGTTCATGGCTTCATATCAAGGATAAGGTTTCCCATAGCCCTTACAGGAAGAACGCAACAACACCAGCGACAACAGCACCGCCGAAGCTGACGCCCATCTTGCCGGCAGCGGCCTCAGGGACCTGAGCAGGTCCCGTGGTGGTGGGCGGCACGGGAACGACGGTGGGCGGCACGGGAACGTTGGTGGGCGGCACGGGAACGTTGGTGGGCGGTACGGGAACGTTGGTGGGTTGGCTGATGACGGGAGTGACGAGAGGCTTGCTGGTGACGGGGGTGACGCCGCTGATGTGCGTCTGAGGAGGAGGCACAATCGTGTAGATCGAGGTCGTCGTCTTGGGGGGAGGGTAGATGGTGTGGTTACCAGCAGGGTGAGAGACCGTAGGGTACCAGACTTTGGTGCTGGTGACGGGGGCAGGGTGCGACTCGATGATGGTGCAGGGGCAGTCTGGAATTTGGGTCAGATACGAGGCCCAGGTTCAAGGGTCGTGGTAGGTTCTTACTGGAGATGGTGACCGTCTTGGGCTCAGTGACGGTGTAAGTGACGTTCTTGTAGCCAAAGGTGGTGGGCAGCTGCGAGCGGTCAGCAACATATTCCTGTCCTCGATACGAACGGTCAGGACCTACCGGGCAGTACGTCTCGTAGGCGGTCGAGACAACAGTCGTGTAGGCGATGCCATCCGAGCCATAGGCAGCAGCGCTGGCCAGGGAAAAGAGCCCAGCAACGGGGGCGAGGACCTGAGTGAATCTCATCTTCGTTCTTCGATGTAGCGAGTGAATTGATATCAGCGAAAGTGGATTGCCAAAGGCTTGCGAGAGAGCAACAGCAGCGCAGAGGATATAGACGAGCTTGCGAGGGTCGAGAGCGATTCGGAGCGAGGCTTGCATTCAAACAGGTTGACCAAGATCGTGGGCATGGCGGCGACTTTATCCTCGTGGCGGCCATCTCAGCTCAACGGCCGTGCCTCCTCGAGTCGGCCGGAAGCGTCAATAGTCAAAGACGCTACCCAACCAGTGTCGTATCGGTACATTGGAGAATGCTCCTGAACTCAAATCGATGCCGCATTTGTGCTCGATAAGGACCTCCTGCTGGCCCGCCCACCCACAGCACGTCCCTCTGGCTGTGATTAGGCTGACCAACTGGGCACAACGACCAGGCCCATGACCCCGGGTGGGTGAGTGATACGAGATGTAGCCCTGTCAGCAACGCGCGATGTGCGGTGTGAAGCGGCAGATTAGGCCGGACTGATAAACACCCCGGTGTTGATGTCGCGAATTAGAAGCGCCCTCATTGGCTGGTAGGCCTTTATCGATTCCCTTTTGGAAAGTGACGAACCACGCATCAGGCAACGAGGAGCTGATCGGACGGCCGCTCCTTCGTGACTACTCTCGCTGCCACGGAAACAGCCATGATGAGGCCATACAGGCCCTGCCTGGTGCATGGAAGCTCGGCTGCCCGAATCAACATGGGCGCTGTCAGGCTCCCCAGCTCTCAGGCCGCAAGGCTCGACACCAATTTGCCGTCTTCAATAAGTCGAAGCTACAGACTTGACAGACTCATGAGGCAGCTGGGGTCACCCGTTGCTTGCATTCCATCAGAGTCATAAACCGTGGAAGCGGAGTGCCATCCGGTCAAGCCGTTCCCAGTCGGTGGAGAGAGGCAGACATGTTACGTCAGACGAACAGCTGAGGCTCAGAAGTTTTCGGCGCTTCGAGAACCGAATCCAGGCACAGTCAGAAGCATCGTCTGATGCGGTTGGGTGGAGCCAGCCAAAGTCGTGAAAATTCTGGAGGTGGAGTTGCGAGAGTATTCCGCAGAGGGAGAGAGACGTGAGGGGGATCTCGAGCAACCCTGGTCACCCCGCAGTGACGCAGTAACAGAACTTGACCACACCCGATTGCCGACTTGAATCGATCAAACCGACTCGCTTCTGCGGTGGGAATTCTTGGCTGATCTCGATATTCTCGCAGGAACCCGAACGTGCCGCAACAGCCCCAAGCCACCAGTGACTTGAAACTCGCCCTACGGGACTCCTAGGGCGAGGAAGAGGTTAAGTCAAATGCTCTCAGAAGTCGCAGAACTCAAGCACCTGCGTGATTGACCGTCGCAGAGGGTGGGTGAGGCGTACACCACCACCGACCAACCTCTGGCAGAAGCCCACTTTGTCAGGTCACTGGGCAAAGAGGACAAAGACGCGACGGGAAAAAAGAAGTCCCTCACACTTGGGCTGGTGTGTGGTGGAGGCGTGAAAGAAAAACCTCGCGCGCGTGGGTCATAGGCCGCCGTCACAGACGCGGGACCACGAGTGGAAGGATGACAACGTTGCCAGTCGAAGCTGGTGTGGCTCCCCACCCGTTCCCCCGGGAGTGAAGCACTCTAGGACCAATGAATCATCTAGCGGCTTCAACAGCGTGAGAGAAAGACAAGCGAAGAGGCTATGGAGACGCCCGGTGGCAGCATGGCTGAGCAGGTTCGCGCGTGGAAGAGCCTTCGGAAGCGAGGGAAGGGAATAAGGCGTTATTTCTGGGCTCGGCAGGTGCTGGCGCTGGGCCTAGCCAGTCCTGGCGACGGCGAACTAGTCCTGGCGACGGCGAACTAGTCCTGGCGACGGCAAAACGGAGCAGAGAGAAAACGAAGGCGCCGTCGAGCGGAGTGCAAAGGTGGCCGAGGAGAAGCCTTCGCACCCTTACGTCGTAGAGGGTGCCGACGGCCAGTCCAGAAGCGGCTGGCAGTGGATCTCGGTGTTCCTTGGATGGGGCCTCTTGCAGAGCGGCAAGACGGTGACGGTGACGGTGACGGGGGCCGAGCTGCATGAGGAGCCGCGGGCTGGGCCAACAGAGCCGGTGCAGAGTGGATGGTGTTCCTGCGCGGTATACGGTGCGGCACCGTGTCAGACTTCGCGGCCAAAGCCCCGCTCGCACCGCATCGTACCGCACCGCTCGACAACGTCCGACGTGGTTGCGAGGCCAACGAGAAGGGAACAGGATGGGGGATAGGCTGGTAGGATGTCATGGACCACCGCTTGAACTGGCGATCGGCAGGACGATCGAAGCTGCAAGGCAAGGGGGACTGGAAGGATGTGTCTGTAGGATGTGTTCAGATACAGATCATCATGGAGGAGGCCGAGTATCGAGCGGAGTCGCTAGCAGTCATGGCGAGTGACGATGAAAAGGTCTAGAAGCCTCGAGGATGACGGTTTGTGGCAATGATGGGCGAAAAAGACGTGCAGGAGAGACGCCAATGATGACTTTTGTGGAGAAGCAGGTACCAGAGCAAAAGAGCTGTTTGGTACCTGCCCAGGTACGTCTCTCTCTCTCGTTCTTTCCAAGGAACGAGCCGGACCTTCACCACGTCAGTAGCTGCCAAGGCTGCCTCTGGTGCCTGTCTCTGGTGCCTGCCTCTGGTGCCTGCCTCTGGTGCCTCTCGCGCGACTGGAACCTGCCTGGCGACAGAAGCCGGCGTCGGACGCTAACAAGGGCGCGACTCAGTACTTCGGGATACCTGAGACTGCGCACGACACGCTGCGACGTTCGGGTAGTTCCCCGTAGCTCCATGTCCAGGCGCAGAGCACATGCTGCATGCTCCCTTTGTCTTGCCTTGCACCGGTATCCGGGTCGATACATGTACCCAAGGTAGGCAGTGGCATCGGGGTTAGGGCTTCGCTACCCAGCAGCCCGACCAGTCGGAACACAACATGGCCAGCTGGCACGGCGTGAACAAACAAGTCAACGACGACTGGGCTTCTCCACCTCACCTCACTCACCTGCCGAGTGCCAACTCCACTCCACCTCTCCTCCTACTTTTCTCAGGCTTCCAGACTGTTTGTCGGACCGCCCAAGTACCTTACCAACCACCACCACACCACACCTTTTGACACAGCACAGCGTCAGAGTTTTCCCTTGCGGCTTTCCAATCGCGTCACATCACTCGCCTGCGTCTATGGCTTCCGACGTGCGCGGTTTTCTCGTGCATCAGTGGCACACCCTCCTCTACGCGGTTGAGAATCTTGGCCATGATCAGCCAGGCTGCGCATCCAACCACTCAACATCCCTGGAAGATCAGGTTGTTCAACGATGCCTCTGATCCTATTGACCTTCGACTCCGGCCACCCCCATCGGGCCATCTGTCGCATCAACAATTGCGCCCACAGTGGCTCCCAAAGGGCAAGCAAGGGTTTGCGTATCCCCTGTTTGCTCTCAGCTAGCAGGCAGAGCCCGTGAGCAGTGTCAATCATTCGAGGTCCGACGGGGAAAGCTCTTCAGAAACGACCATTGGTGCCTCGTTGCTTTTTCCCTCGTTCCTTGTTTGCTGTGTCTCTTCTGCTGCCTTGCTTTGCGTCGCTTTGCTTTCCTACAATCGGTCTCTGCTTCCTTCAGTTCAGCTTGGATCGATCAGCTCGGACGGGAACCCCCCCCCCCCCCCCAAGTTAGCTTTCACTCCCGGACACAAATGTGCCGGGAGGGCGGAGCGCTTGTGATTTTTTTTTACGATTCTTCACGATAGACATCAATCAGACAAGTTGCGATACCCCCCTTTTTTTCTTCTTGGGACAGCTTCAGATTGAGCCCCCCTCCTCCAAGGGGGGCCGAACGGAATCGCGGGTTGGGTCGGATTTTTCCACTTAGAAGACATGAAGGATTGAGGAACACTTTCGGCGTACATAGACTTTCTTTCCACATTCTTTACACTCGCTTACACCTCCCTCCATATTACATGGAGGGTCTTTTGGGACATTGGCTTTTTTCTGATTAGGTTATTACAACTTATTCGGCATATATACACTTTTTCTCGGAAATGAATTCAGTCAATATCGCTTTTGCCAGTCATAGGAACGCTATGTGCTTCTTCCCTCCCTCGTATTGCTAAACTTGATTGCATGTCGTTGCTTGCCACGATATAGGCAGGGGTCAGAGGGCATGCCAGCAGGTGGCCCCCTCCCCCTTCCCCCTCCCTCGCCCCCCCGTCTTGGCGACCATGTGCCTGGCTCCAGTGTCTCGTCCAGGCCGATGACAAAGACGAAAACCCTGGCAGGGAAACACCGCAGCTGGGTTGTCGGCCTCTGCGGGACAACACCCCTGGAGCGGATCCCAAAGGGAGGCTCCACCGCAAGGGGGGGGGGGGTTGCGCCGCTAAGAGCCCAAGGTCGGGTGGAGTGGGGGGTACTGACTTGCTTGTACATGGTAGAGGGAACCTTCCGTGGAGTCGTGACGCGCAAGCCATGCTTGCGTCTGCCGAGCCCAAGTATACGCCGAGTTCTGAGACGGCATTTTGGAAGGACAGCCCAGCACAGCCGCCTGACGATAAAACAAACTAAAAGAAAAAAAGAAAAAAAAAGAAAAAAAGAGAAAAGGTTCAGGACGCAAATTGCCAGTCGGTTCAAGCCGTGGACCGGAAATCAATGGGACGCTCGCTAGAGGCCCTGGGAATGGTCGGTCGTCCAGGCACGCTCATTAGTTTCAGGGGCGAAAGAAACGGCAGCGTAGCACCACCGCTGGAGAGGAGGGAGGGGGAGCCCTTCCAATCGATTAGGTATGGTGGGATGGTTGCGGCACGTCGCGGATTTTGGGTTCGACAGAGTGTGAAGCGAGAGCATTCCTCTTACAGTAGCGCTGGACGCGGGAAATCAATAGGTGATGAACCCAAAGGGAACGCGCCCACTCGAAGGCATTTCGGGCCCTGAAATTGATGCGACCCTGACAATGACACGTCATGCGGATGGTTCTCGTCTCTGCGCGCCGTGCCATGTGGTGTGCTTCGTGGGGACGAGAATTCCTGTGCAGTGTCCCGCCTCCGTGGTCCCATCGCTGGTTTCGGAGCCATGGAGAGTGGTAGGAACGGCAAGACCGTGCGTGTATATTATGCTTTTCGACTTACAGGCGGAGAGCGCACTTGGTGCCTTGGTGTCGGGCGTGTGCTTCGAGTAGACGCTACCTGTTGGCGGCTGGATACACGGCAAAAAATGGGACAAAGGATCACCCGCAGCCGTTGAGTGTGAGGCTGCCTGCGGCATTCATTGTACAGCGAGGTATGGTACCTAGATAATGCAAGATATACATGCTCAAATATCCGATACCCGACGCAAGGGGGAACACTGCAACTCTGCGCTTGAACTCATGATCCCTTTCTCATTTCCCTCCATGTCACGACTTCTCCTTATTCTGTTTCGGTCTTCTGAGACGCCTCGTCTTTCTCGCTCAATGCCTTCGAAGCCTGGATATCGGATCCGCTCTCTGGCGAGGGGGGTCCCTTCTCTGCCGCCTTGTCGTCTGCTTTTGCTTCGGCGGCGTCTACCGTCGCCGAAGACGGAGTTGGGTCCGCTGTTGCTGGTTCCGGCTGCGCTGGCTGTGCTGGCGCCTCGATTTGCTTGGAGTTGATGATGCTTGTCAGGTGTTCGCCCGTCGTTCCAAACCCGTCGACTTTGCCGAGCTTGGTGACGAGGAATTCGACATCGCGCCGCATACTGCACGTGCGTTAGTCAATGAACCGTTCAAAACACGTGGATGTCTCTGAAGATGTCTTACCTGTCTTGCCCGGCCGGGGTCCTCGGGTCCGCCGCTTGGAAGACCGTACCCAGCTGATCCTTGTAGCTCGCGAACACGGGGCCCATGATCATCTGCACAGCACCTTCGGGGAGATGTTTGGTCAAGACGCGATGGAGTGTTGTTGTTTCCTTCGCCAGCGTCTCCATGTACGGACGGACCGCCCTGCTGCCCTCACTGTCCCAGTCGATGGCCTTGACAGCCTTGGAATGTTGTGCCGCACGCCCGCTCATTATGTCGACAAGCTTGTCGTAGATGCTGTTCTGGTGCTCCTGGAACAGCCTGCGGACCTTGTCGAACTCGGCCATCAGACTTGACACGCCCGCTCCCGAGCCAGCACGACGTCGAACAAATTCGCGAATGTGGGGAATCAGTGTTACAATCAGTGACAGAGCCTGAGACGCGAGCGCTAGGTGCCTCGTGGTGATGTTCTTCAGACCGGCGGATCGAGTTGCGCCGGCACCCAAAATGAGCTGGGTGCATCGGGAGTTGAAGAGATGAAGGTAGGCAATGAGCGATGTGGCGACGTCGGTCGTCATCGAGGGGATGCCAGCCATCAGGTGCATGAACTGCGACAAGCCCTCGAGACAGAGAATGGCCGAGTTTGGGAGAAGGAAGCTCTCGCCCTCAATCATTGCTGTCCGCGTCTTTTCCTTGCCGGTGCCGTTGGCTTCTGAAGCCGCCTCGTCTCCATTGGTTTGTTCCTCAGTATACTCCGTCCAGATTTTGGTCCCCTCAGACCAGGCAGCGGCATCCTTAGTGCTGCTCTCCAGGATCTGATTCAGGAGCGTCGTATCTCTGTCGCTGAAATCTTTGGCGTTCCACTGGTCAGACTCCATGCCCTGCGCGAGCTTCTGCTTCTCCGCCTCGCCGTGTTGCTGCACAAACTCTCGGATATGGCCATTAACCACCGTCTTGAGCGACGTGCCACTCCGGCCAGAAATGGCTTCGCACTCATTCGCAAAATAGAGGTTGAGGGTGAAGTACCGCAGGAACCAGTCCAGAGACAAGTGTGACGCCTGATCGGCTCGTACCTTGAGTACCTTGACAATTTTGTCCTGGGCCACATCGACAGCCTGACCGACAAGATTTGAAATGTCCATGGCTTTGTGAATCTCCTCTTGGATCTCAAAGGCTGACGTATCCAGTTGCGAGGAGTACCTGTCCGGGTTCGGGCTAGTCAGTGGTGATCGGATAGGGGGCGATTTGACGCCTGAGGTGCCGGAGCCTGACAAGGAGCTTGCTACGTCGAGTAAGACCTTGACCTGCGTGGTAAGTCTGCGAAGAGTCTCAGTAACACCAATGTAAATCGATTTGAGAAGATCCTCTGCATCCTTGGGATCCAGTGCTCTCAGATTGCGCGCCAATATCGAAGACTTTTCTTTGCTCGACAGATTCCGGCCGCCGCTCATGGTGGAGGCCGACATCATCGACTCATTATCGTCATCATTAGAACTGGGCAACGGCTTTCTAATCAAGTTTCTTATCTCGCGCAGGATGGCCTCGCGATATGCACTTGTAGCGATGGCAATATGCTTTGCGCGATGTAATCCGTCCAGGTTAGGTGGAATAGTAGCGCGCAGCTCGCTGGTCGATGCCAAGTAGGTCGGTAACGCCGAAGGCTCTCGCGAGTGCGTTCCCCTGGCCCGCATTGATGATGTGCCCCACCGTAGGAGCACATCCGCATGGCTGACGGTTTCGAGATGTCGCCGCAGATCGCCCAGAAGCACGTTGGTGAACTTAGTCTCAAAAGCTTTTCCGACGCGGAATCGCAAAGTATTGAGATCATCGTTGACGCCCTGAAGCGCCGTGGCTCCCCTCAGGTCTCGCAAGTGGATTGCCTGGAGCGCAGGCGCCTTTGTTGCTGCAAGGCCGTTCTCCTCACCGACTTCACCGGCAATCAGCAGCTCCAGCGAGTCCATTCCTGTCAGGGCTTGCTCAACCTGTCCTTCGTCGACAAGATTCTCGCAATTGCCCACACCTTCGACAATGTGTCGTAGCTGCACCACCGCGTCGTTCAGCTGTTGTATATTTTCACGGCGCCGCCTCTTTTGCACAATGTCCAGCCCAGTCTGTGGAATCTCTTTGTCTAAAGCCTCCAATTCTTGTCGAAGCGTTTTGATCCTATCCACGGACTCGGCGGCTTCAGAGTGAAGCTCTCGTAAGGAACCCAAAGCTGTGAAGAAGGTTGTAGACGCTGTGGAGATGGAGCTGATCAGGTGCATCTCAATTGTGTCCATGTACCACGATAGCTTCTCTTGCAAGATGGCATTCGTGGCGAGAGCTTTCCGTGGTGCCGCGGCGTGGCCGTTACTGGCCGCTCTTTCATCTGTGCTTCCTGGCGCGGGGCGAACGACTTCAGAGCGCTCACTGACAACGTCGAATGTTCGTGGGTTCTCGAGATGAAAGTCGTCATCAAAATATACGTTGGGGATCGTCGACAGAGGTGGCGGCCCCTGGGTTCCTTTGCGACTCGTACCAGATGATCTTCGGGCGGAACCTGGTGCGTCGAATGATGTGATGGACGATAATGAGGCGATTGAGGATTTGCGGGCTGGATAGGGCGGTCGACTCTCAGGCCGCAGGTGACCTTCGTCCGTGGTCTCGAAGGCATCGTCATGTTTGCTTCCTCGTCGGCCAGCGCCTCCTTCTTCTTCTTGTTCCTTGACTCGCTTCAGCTGCTCATATAATGCGCCGACTTGTGACAGGTACGGCTTGAACTCGGCGGGGTCGATTCGGGGAATATTTGTGAGGGTGACGGGAGGAATATCCCGGGCGTTTGGTGCTCTGTGCGCACTTGAGGCAGGTGCCGACGTATGCGGTAGTAGTCCTGTTCGGACGATCGGTGGTTGTAGAAGGGTTGATATAGCTAGGTAAACGGTAAGCCTTGGAGGCGCTGATCTAGGTACCTTAAGCTACCAACCATTTTGGCCAGACTCGGCAACCGAGCTTGCTCGGTTACTCGATGCTGTGTCTAGCGATCCTCCAATGGAATGTATGGAGCTCGCCGTGGAGCCTCGCCTGCCGAGAGGGTATGGATGTCCTTGCCCGGGTCTGGAGCTGCGTTAGTTGCCCAAGTTCCCACGATATGTGGCACATGCCGAGGGCGTTTCTGACCTAGCGCCATGGAATGGAAATTCGGATCGAGAACCGGTAGGCGATAATGGCGTAAGGTTATCCATAGATCTTCGTGAGCCCGGTGAAGAAAACATTGTTGGTAGGCGTCAAGAGTTGCAGCGACAGTATCGTGAGCCTGGATCCGCGTTGGTGTACGTCTTTGCGACGGGCGGCAGAGATAGGGGAAGACCGGACAACAGGGTTAGGTAGATGGCCGCGTCGCCAGGCTACCATGGTATCATCGCTAGCTGGAAAAGCAGACACCAGCAACAAATGAAGCAAAAAAAAAAAAAAACTATCTGTAACTCGGACGCCGAGGAGGCAATGCAAGCTGTAGTATCGGGCGTCCGTGAGATGCAGGCAAGTACGAGGACACATCCACACTTGAGCTCTGCCTGTACAGCAGATCGACGTAGCGAATACGGTACCTTGCTGGGGCCAACAGCGCCGGGTTCAGCTCCAGCGACCTCCCTGCCTACCTTACTAGGTACTTAGGTACCCCGACTCGGTGGTCCGAGATCCCCAGTGAATCAGCCGAAGTATTGCCAGCTCACACGTGCTGTGAAATCCCCCCTGGCAAGGCTTTCGCGCTTTCGCCTGCAACCACTTTAAGTTGAATCCACACGCGCGCGTCCTTGTCGCGTAAAGCGCGTTGCCTGGTTGATTGCCCCCTCCTAATTCTCAGCCCCTCAACACCGCCCTTGATTCGAATTCGCGATACCAGCGTTCGAAGTCGAGCGTAACATCCCCTCATTACCACCACCAGACCAGATCGAGCAGCCACGTCGCCCAAGTCTCGAAAGTTCGATCATGGATCACCGCTCAACCTATTCGGCTCGTGTCGGTGAGCCGCCGGCTGACCAAACCGACGGCACCCGCCTACACATTCAGAAGCAGCTCGAAAGATTTGTCCTCGACTTCCGCCACGATAACGACTATGTCTACAGGTATTATTCTTGCGCTCTGTAAACGTATGCTTCAATTCCTAATACGGGTGCAGAAATCAATTGCAGGAAAACGCTTTGCTGAAGAAGTACTACTGCGATGTCAATATCAACGATCTCATCAACTACAACGAAGAGCTTGCACACAGGCTGGTCAACGAGCCGGCCGAGATCATTCCCTTGGTTTGTGATGTCTAGACATTTGGGTTTCCTGTTCATGTCTGGCTAACACGTGTCGTCTCTTTCAGTTCGAGGAAGCCCTTCGACAATGTACACACCAGATCCTCTTCCCTCACGACCCTAACGCACGGTTGCCCGAACATCAGCTCCTGCTGCATTCTAGCGCCGAGGAGGTCTCGATTCGTGACCTGGACTCGATGAAGATCTCCCGGCTGGCACCGGTACCGGGCATCGTCATTGGTGCTTCAGTCATGTCCTCCAAGGCGTCGGAGCTTGTCATCCAGTGCCGCAACTGCCAGAACACTCAACACGTCCCCGTCTTTGGCGGTTTCTCGGGCGTCACACTACCGAGGCAATGCGAGAGGAAGAGGCTGCCAAATGATCCTACGGAGAAATGCCCTCTGGACCCGTACTTTGTGATCCACGAGAAGTCACGGTTCGTCGACCAGCAGGTCATCAAGCTGCAAGAGGCTCCCGATAAAGTCCCCGTTGGCGAGCTTCCCAGACATGTGTTGATCTCGGCGGACCGGTACCTCACAAATCGTGTTGTCCCCGGATCCCGATGCACGATCACCGGCATCTTCTCCATCTACCAGAACAAGGGATCCAAGAACTCGTCCACGGGTGGTGCTGTCGCCATCAGGACCCCGTATTTGAGGGCCGTCGGCATCAAGACGGATATTGACCAGAGCGGCCGCGGGCAGGTCATCTTTTCTGACGAGGAAGAGCAAGAGTTCCTCGAAATGAGCCGACGACCAGATCTCTACAACGTCATGGCCGAGTGCATTGCTCCGTCGATTTACGGAAATGCGGATATCAAGAAGGCCATCCTATGCCTGCTGCTCGGCGGATCTAAAAAGATTCTCCCCGACGGCATGAAGCTGCGTGGTGACATAAACGTCCTCCTCTTGGGTGATCCGGGTACTGCCAAGTCGCAACTGCTGAAGTTTGTCGAAAAGTGTGCGCCCATCGCCATCTACACATCCGGTAAAGGTTCCTCGGCTGCCGGTCTCACCGCTTCCGTGCAACGGGAGCATACGACCCGCGAATTCTATCTGGAGGGTGGTGCAATGGTACTGGCTGACGGCGGTGTTGTGTGCATCGATGAGTTCGACAAGATGCGTGACGAGGATCGAGTGGCCATCCACGAAGCTATGGAGCAGCAGACCATCTCCATTGCTAAGGCCGGCATCACAACGATTCTGAATGCCAGGACATCGGTACTTGCAGCAGCCAATCCCATCTTTGGCCGTTATGACGACATGAAGACCCCTGGCGAGAACATTGATTTCCAGACGACAATTCTGTCTCGATTCGACATGATCTTTATTGTCAAGGACGACCACACGCGCGAGAAGGATGAGAGGATAGCCAAGCACGTCATGGGCATCCACATGGGAGGTCGGGGTGCAGAGGAGCAGGTTGAGGCCGAGATCCCCGTCGAGAAGATGAAGCGGTATCTCAGCTACTGCCGATCGTAAGTTCAGCGCCAGCAGCTCTGGTTTTTGATCCATGTTTCTAACGCAAATCTACAGTCGAATGGCGCCGCGGCTCAGCCCCGAAGCGGCAGAGAAGCTTTCTTCCCACTTTGTCAACATCAGGCGGCAGGTTCACGCAAGCGAGATGGAGGCCAACACGCGGTCATCGATTCCCATTACCGTCCGTCAGCTGGAGGCCATCATTCGTATCACAGAGTCGCTGGCCAAGCTCACTCTTACGCCCATCGCAACGGAACAACACGTCGATGAGGCCATCCGACTGTTCCTCGGTTCAACCATGGAGGCTGTCAACCAGGGCAGCAACCAGGGCAGCAGAGAACTGAACGAAGAGGTGGGCCGTCTCGAGACGGAGCTCAAGCGCCGACTAGCTGTGGGCTGGAGCACCAGCTTGGCAAGCTTGAAGCGCGAGATGTGCGAGCAGAAGGGGTTCAGTGAGCAGGCCCTGAACCGGACATTGATGATGATGCAGAGGCGAGACACGATCATGTTCAGGAACCAGGGAGCACAGGTGTACCGAAACGCCATCTAAGCGATCTGTATCCGGGGGGGGGGGGCATTGGGTTGTTGGAATTCTTGATGATTGATGCTGTATCCACGAGAAAGCGAAGGAACATAATGGCGCAGGGCAACAGGTAGAGGATGGACCAAATGGAGAAATGAGGTTCGTAGCAGAGCCTCTATGTCTAGTTTATTGCCTGACCACTTCGGAAACGTGAGCCGACCGCGCTGTCCCATTTCCATGCCTGCTAGTACCTGTCTACACTTGCCCGGTCAGCGGACCATTTGCAGTGTCATGTGAACATCAGGAGGGAGGGTGGTGGCCTGGCTGTTGTGCTCAGACACGGCCTTTGTCCTCATCCTCAACCCATTCGAAGAGTCCACCTCCAGTGCGCATGACGCACACAAGAGAGCATTCGTGGCTGAGGATCGGTTTACCAGATGTGTGTATCATCATTGATGTGGCACAGGCTACGCAAGGTGCGAATAAAGGAATTCCATGACCTACCTTTGGCAGACAGACATTGCCAAGATATTCGAACTTGATGCAAACAATCATATACTTGTGTCGTCGACTCCAAAGTCATGCGCCTTTTCAGACACAACAAAGAGGCCGTGTGTTTGTGTGTGTGGGTGTGTGGTATGTCCAGATTTGCTTCAGGTGATCATCGTTTCATGGAAGCCACACATGGGGCCCTCGCGACAATTGTTTTTAAGCAATGGTGCATAAGCATCATTCTCGACTCACACAGCTATATCGTCCAACAGCAAATTTCCCGATGCAGAACAACGGGTGCCGGCTGGCGATGTTATGTTAGGTGTGGTGGTCTTTGGTTGTTAAGAGAAAAGAAGAGGAGGCCGGTGGCAGGCAAGAAAATCGTGAGCCTTGATAAACCGCCAGCCCACTGCAGGTCACATGACTTGCATGCCCATGCTGTTTCCTGGGTGAATGGCTGGATGGAACGGTGGGGCAAGGAGCGGGTAGAAAGAACAGTGGAGTGGGTACCTAGGTACCATGTACTCCTCTCCGCTCCGATTCCCAAAGAAGCGGAAAGTCAGGCGAACGCAAAGAGAAGACGAACACTCCGCACGGTGAGCGCACAGTGCACATGCCACTAAGCGAGGTCATGTTTCGCTGCAAATTTCCTCGCCCGCTCTCCGGTCCACCCTGTCCAGCTCACACAGTCCCATCGACCCAGGCCACCCAGCACTGACCTGACTTCACCCTCTCAACCACCTCATCACCTGCACCAGCCGACCACGTCAGGACCCTGCGAAACCAACCCGACCACCTCTTCCGGCATCGACCGTCGACCCTACGAATCGCGCTCACGCACCCGACGGCGTGGGAATACAGCGACCATCTCTCGTTTCGAACATCCCAGCGGCGAATCCCGACGATCGAATCTGCGCGGCAAGGCAGAGCAAGGATTGCATGACGCTGGGCTTGGGAACCGACTTCAGTCGTCGGCGCTCTGGCGCGACTCGCCACCACGTTCAGCTCATCTTCTGAAGCCGACCGACACAGGTTCCTTCTTCATCGCGCACATTGCAGACTCTTGTCTTGCCCGACAGCGTCTCCTTCTGCTCCCTGCAACAGCGAAGGGCGCTTTTGCCGCTCCTGGGGCCTGGATCTCGGTACCGGCTCCACCTTGACCACACCTCGGCTTGAAAATACACCCTCCTTTCTCCGACTGACGACGACGACGACGACGACGACAACGCTCATTTCAGTTCGTTCGGCGTCCAGATACATCGAGACTTCGACGTCGGCTTCAACATGTCTTTCCATCCCCAGACCCCTCAGAGTCCTTCGCAGTTATCACCCGGTACCTCCGATCTTGCCTCCAGCATGAACAGTTCACTCACTTCGCTCACAACCCTGCCGACACCCGCCCACAGCGTCAACGGAAGCACATCTCACCTACCAGATACGTCTCACGACTACGCGATGGGTGACGACACGCCCCAGAAACGCAAACGCTCAATCGGCGACGTTGGCGAGCGAGACCAGAAGAAGCCCCACGTCGAGGACGGCAAACTCGATATCGATGACCTCCATCAGGATGTCGGAGAGAAATACCTGCTTTGTCAAACTCGTAAGGCCCCCTTCACTTCCGGGCTCGCCATTTCCTGGCTCTTGCCCCTGCATGCCCCTGCTCCCCATTGCCCCTGCCAACCCTTCCCTCCCTCCCTTCATGCGATGTTCCTCAGTAGGAGTATGATTTCAAGGTTGAGAACTGGGTTAACATAAGAGCTGTGCAGCACACCGCACGCAAGAGTTCCCATGCATTACCGAAGATCTCTTTGAAATGTTCGGTCTGACAGAAATCGCCGCCGAAGTCGCACGTGAGAAATCCAATGGTGACAAGACCATCAAGAACGGCCTGCGCAAGACTTACAAGGGCCACATCAAGCGACTGGGCATCATGGGAAGATTTGACTCTGTCGCCCAAGAGTGGGAGGAGCCCGAAGAGGTGGATGATGACGGCGATCAAGATGAGGACGATCGCCCAACGCAGAAGAAGGAGAAGAGCAACGAGCCCTACTTTGGCTTTGGCAAGATCATGAACCTGAGCGATCCAGAGTTCTGGCACGGACGGAGCTACCTCATGCAGGGTTTGACGCCCAGGGCGAGAGCAGAACTCCCCAAAGCGCTGGCGATGGCAAAGGGTCAGATCCCCGAAGGATTTGATGCCTCTGTGTTGAACGATGACGGCTCTAGACCCGCCGCTGCCGCAAGATCTGCGGCTCCTGGCACCCCGATTGGCACACCTGGGTCGAACATGGGTCAACTCAAGCAGGCTCAAGGCATTCCCCGTCCGCAACGGGTGAACAAGAAGCGAGGTTACGGCGATAACTCTTTTGAGGGCTACGAGGGCTACGAAGATGGCTACGCCACAGGCGATGGCGACGACCGTGGAGGTCAGAAACGCCGAAAGAAGGTATGTCACGGCCGACTCATCAATACTCTGTCGCCATCTAACACATGCCCCCCTCAGGCTGTCGGCACACCACAGTTCCAGAATGGCACGCCCCGCCCATCCTACGGCTCAGGAATCGGGGTTTAGGATGACCCCTCGATCTCCAACGCCGCCGGTCAAGGAGCAGGCGGCAAGGGACTCGGCCGCAATCAGACAAGCCGTCAAACGCCTTGCGCGCAGGCCAGTGAGGCTCGGGAACCTTTGGTCGGCGCTCCCAAGACTGCCCCATCGAAGAAGGCTGGTCGCAAGGCCAGCGGCGGCCGGAAGCCCGCAGGCCCGAAGACGAGTGCTCGTCCTCGGAAGGGTCTTCAGGGTGACTCATGACCTTCCCAGCCGTCCTTCGAACGAAATGATCCTCAGTATGATACCCGAGTCGGCTTTCTGCCCTCTGCACACACGCACACACACACACGCTCTCTATCGCTCCTCTTTACGGCCGCCTCAGTCTTGACTTGACGAAAAGGTTTCTTAATGGGGGTTACAACGCATGCAGTCCACGCGTTCCTGCGTTTATTGACGATTTCTTCTTTGCCGCACCCTGGCACCTGTATAAGCACGGCGTTGGTTGGTTTTTCATGCTTTTTGTCCTGCCTCTACTGCTTTTTTCCTTTCCCTTTCCCTGTCTTTGTTTTCTCATTTCTCGGACGCCGGGGAAGAGGCCGAAGGGGAACACCCACCCCTTCCGCGCCAAACCACAAAAAAACAGGGAAACAGTCACACAGGGGACGTCATGAAAGGTAAAGAAGGCGGACGGACGGTGGATGGCATAGAAGGGAGGCCCGAGGCGAAGGAGGGTTCGCTCTCGGGGAGGGGACTTCCATGCACATGCGCACACGTATTGGCCCCGCTGGGCCTCTGGTACTATAGCACCGGGAACGGACTAGTACTTTTTGTTTCCACGAGAAAAGGGGAGACTAGCTTTTGCTCCGGACGGGGTGAAGCCTGCTTTTTTCCCCCGAGTGAGGACCCCGTGGTCTTTATCACGGGAGAGGTGCGCAGAATACTTGATTGTAGTTTTGCGTCCCGGAATAATACAAGCGAAGATCAATGAATTTGTATGCCTATTGTCGTATTCGTGTGGCTGTCATGCATGCGATGGAGCTACAAGCGAGCAAACTTGGGCTGTCACTGAAGAACGATGGCCTTGGGTATCATTGTAGATGTTGTTATCCTAACGACTGGCTCGGCATACTGGGCCAGACAGGTAGATCCCCGAGTCCAGCTGAGGCGATCTCTCTGCCTTTGCCGTGTCCATGTTCCCACAAGGTACGTACGCGTCGATCTCGCTCCTCCGCCCGCTTGCAAGAATCAGTCAAGTCGCAAATCATCAGTGGTCTGCGCCAGCTCAAGAATGGCCCTGTTCGAAAGGCTCTCTTGAGCCCACTCCACCACCCTTTGTCCAACGTTGCCGACCAAGCCCTCGTAGTGAGTACCTGGGAAGAAAAGACCACAATGAGCCCCTACCTCATCCACGCCCTCCATGAAGATTGACACCCACGTGTCGTCCTTTCCCTCGCTGACTCGACGCGGTAGCACACAAAACTTGCGCTCTTTCGCCGGCTTTTTCGCCTCAATAGCGCGGGCCTCCCTCTCTGCTGTTGTTGTGCGGCCTCGTGATGGACTTTCCTCACGACCTCGGTCCGTGACATCGGTGTCTGCTTCGCACTGCTCATTGTATGGCTGTTGTTGTTGTTGTTGCTGCTGCTGTTCTTGCGGTTCGGGAGCAGGCATCGGACGCCCATCTCTTTCCGCCGCCTCACGCTCTCTGTCGGCTGCCTCTTTCGCCCGCTGCTCAGCCTCCTGTCGCCTCTGTTCGGCCTCTGCCTCACGCTGTGCCTGTTCCCTGGTGAAGGCCTTGGCTTGCGCTTTTCCAGCCTCCTTCACTGACTTCTGGGTGTCCTTCTCAGCCTTCTTCCGCCGCTTGTCGGCTAGTTTCTGGCGCTCCTTGATGGCCTTCTCGCGATTTTTCACGGCCTGCTCGTAAGTTTTCAGGTCGCGCTTGATTTCCTTCTCTGCCTGGCGTCGAGAATCCTTATCTGGGCAGGCATCTAAGTCTGGCGTCGCCGGTCTAGGAGGCAGATCAGGAATAGCTGGCAGGTCTGCTGTGCTGTCGTCGTGGAGCTGGCTCAAGCTGGAGTTGCCAGGAACAGCATGCTCGCTGTCGCCGACCTCAGATGATTCTGGAAACGGGTCAAGATGCTGCATTGAAGCCGCCGGTGGCAGGTTATCCTGTGTTCCAGCGCCTTCTGTAGGAGAGAGGAGCTTCTCCTCGACACCGCTGGGCTCGGCGAGCCGTATGCCAGGCGTGGCCACGTCGCCTACCGAGGCAGACATTGAAAGCGGTGCCAAGGACCCGCGATCTTCCATCGATCCAGCCTCCAGACGGTCAGTTGTCGTGTCGAGCTCTGGTGAACGGCTGCGCGATGGGCCGTGCGACCTCGTCTTATCCTTCTTGGGCCTGCCAGTGCTGATAGTGTAATAGTTCACAAAACGAACACGCGCAACGGGTTGATTTTGCGACGCAGCAGGTCCATGGCTCTGCTGACGGAGCGAGTGGAGTTCATCAACGTCTTCGAGGGCGCGGATCCTGCTGTAGCGTGAGTTGAGAGCGGGATAGTCTGCAAGGCAGCCGCCGTATTCAAGATGGGAGAGAACATGGTTTCTGGCTGCGCCGATTACGCCTTCGGACGAATGCTTCTTGACAAAATGTAGTAGTCGCTTCTTGAAGGGCTGTTCTCTGAAGGGAACGTCGTTAAAGTAGGACGGGTTGAAGAAGGGGTCATTCGAAGGCTGGGGTGAAATCGACGTTGCGGAGCTGTTGTCGATGGAAGAAAATTGGTTGATCGATGTCGTGGAATCATATTGAGAGGGTTCAGGACTTGTTGTACCGGAAAGTATGGGACTCAATGTTGTGGAAGGTCCCGCTCCCGGTTCGGGGGTTTCGGGGGGGCTGGGGTTGGACCGGAAAAGACTGCTGATGCCCGAAACGATGATACCTGGATGAAGCCCCAAGAAAGGGGAATCAAGAGAGATGGTACCTAGAAGACGATGTTTTAGAGGATGCGATGAGTAAGGGTCACGATTGGGCTGCGAGGAGGTTAGCGTTGAGACACTCTGTGTGGTAGTGGGTAATGGGATACCATCAGAGCAACATCGGCGGCCAGTAATCCTCCCATGGAATGACCGACGAGAACAATGTCGGTTGTAGGACTCTCGTGTGGTTGCAGCCATGAGCTAAAGTTATCTCTAGCAAGCGTAATAGCCTTGTATGTCTTATACCGGGGGTAGATCTTGGAGTGAATGACGTAGCTGTCACTCAGCTCATTCTTGAGGTAATTGTGTACATGAGCAGGGAATGACTGAAACGACTGGTCGTTGCCGTAAAAGCCATGGATGTAAACCACAAGCAGAGTCCGCCTCGTCTCAGTATCATGTCCACCAACGAAAGACGGTGTCAGTGATTGAGTAGATGTTTGTCGGGGATCGGGAGCGAGGAATCGGTTATCCCCTAGTCCATCAACAAAAGAATACGCGGGAGGAAGAGAGTGACCAGACTCCCGTGACGAAGACCGCGCCATGTGCGCGTCGGTTCCGGATATCAGGATCAGAGCCGGAAAATCGGGATGGTAGAAAGTCTCAGAGGACGGGCGCGTCGGCGGCTTAGCGGGCACCGTACGCTCTGGTAGTGGAGGTCGGGATCGGGGACGGTGTCGGTCTCTTGGTGGGAGACCTGTCACATCTGTGGGGATCTCTGTGACGTCAGCTTTTGACGGACTCTCCTGGACACACGGCACCATCACGTGATGGCGGGGTACGACACCTGCCTTCGACTTGCGGTCGACAGGGGCGTTGTTGCGTAGGGGCTCAGTAGCTTGACAAGGAATCATTTTCGAGATGTTTACCCTGGGCAGGCTGCAAGCTCACCTATGTATCGTTGTTGCCGGCGGATTGATTATATACCTGAAGCTTTCGCGGCCGGAAAGAGATGGCTTGCGTGGCCGGTGCGGTGCCGACCGGCGCGGCGTCGGACAGGATTCTCGGGTGTCGTATATCTCGTGTTATGAAGGGTTGCGTATGCCGAGATCAATGGTACGTAGCGATATGTAACGAAAGTTCGCGATGTATGAACCGTTGCAGAAGACAGCCGCAAATACCAAGGCTACGTGATCCTCCTGAGAAGGTTATAATTATTTCGGGAAAAGTCGACCCCAGGGCAGTATCTGCAGTCTAAGTAACTTGGGAGGTTGCATCCAAGTTTGCCTTCCCTGGCATTTGACGAATGACGGCACGGATGCAGGTAGTCACGCAGGTTTCCAAGCAGGAGCTTGAGAAGCCCTGCCTTTTGGCAAGAACCGCCGGCTGATCAGGATCAGTCGCAAGCACCCAAATGAAGCATGCTCTCAACGTGCAGGCCACGATATGGACAGCATGCAAGGGAGTGCTCAAGACATTGGCTTAGATGCTCGAGGAAGCGTTTTCAAGTAGTTACCATGTACTATGTACCTTAGGTACATGTGAGATAGCCACCAAATGTCCGTTCTCGCAGATCACAACTGTGGGTCAGTTGCGAGTCGCTTGGGGACCAACACCCAGTGAGAAATCTCCGTCAATCGCGCCGGCAGATAGATGGCACTTGCCCGTCCATCTTGGCAAGTACATCTACCTGTGGAGGTGTCGTTGCACTGCTTCGTCACGTCCACGACGCGACCGCTCCATTTCTTCCCCATGCTCGTCCATTGGATCGTGTTTCCTCACTACCTACCTAGGTGCCAACCTAAGGTACCTTATGCATGATGTACCATGGGCTGGGCGCACGCCGACACCCAAGCACCCACCACCTGAAGCAACCGGCCTCATGAACAGCGAGGCATCCTGGTGTCTGTGCATTTGAGGGCCGGTCACTTGGTGCTGCTACTCTCACACTACTTGTACACTGCACCCATGGACGGTGACGGGACCTGCTCTCCTCCCATGCTCGTCGGAATAAAGAAATCTTGAAGAAACAGAAAACGATTGTTTCACCTTCGATTAAATCTTCGATAATGTGAAATGCAGGCACCAGCTAATAAACGAAATGGACAGAAATAGCACCGTAACCTTGCACCAACCAACTGCAACAGCGGACAGCGGGCCATGGATCCATGGAGCCATGGAGCCATGGATGGAAGGCGGGCCGACGAATACGAGAGAGGCCGCCATGCTACAGTAAGGTAGCACGAGACGGAGGAAAAATGTCACGCAGGTTGTGTAAACGAGAAAACAAAAAAGGGTTATGGAAAGTCTCTGAAGCCCCCGCCCCGATCGATAAAGGAAATACAAGCCTTTCGCGGAACGGCAACGTCCAATTGTGCTCTGAGAGCATGGATTGGGGCAGAAGGCCCAGGTCGCCCGACGCGTCGCGTCTCGTGCGTGCATTGGCTGTTGAATTGACTGACGATGAGCATCGACAGACGGAGCTCTGTTGTCAACACCCAATGCTGGACCACCAAGGCAACGGACCAGGGTAGGATTGAGCATGGACCATGAGCTGGGAGAGGAAGATGTGTGCTCCCCCAAAGTCCCCTGCCGCTGTCCTGTGTCGTCTCGCAGGTCTGGCCCCCCTGCCCCATTGGCCGATATGACAAGAAGCGAAATGAACGAAATCTTGCCATGTGAGTGTGTGTTCTAGGGGGGGAAAGTGGCCCCCAAAGTGTCCCCCAACATCCCCTAACGCTTCGAATAAATCCCACTAAAAGGCCCCGAAACTCACCCTCTCCCCTTGCCTCGACTCACAAATCCCGCTGCACCCTGGTCCGACGCCCAGGTCCAGGTCCAGGTCCTGGTCCTGGTCCTCAAATGGTCAAATCTTCAAGGCCTCTTCTGCCCGTGTGGTGGATGTCTCATTTCGTTCTCGTGCCTGCATCCACTTTCATGTGCCCCCATCCCATATCCCGCCGCATCCCCGTCCTCTTGCCGCTACTGTCGCCGTCGCTGTTGGTGGTGTCGTCCTTTTTGCTCCATTCCTCTCTGCACCACCTCCCCAGGTACGGGGCGCTGTCTTTACACTCATTCGCCCACAGACACTCTTTCTTCTTCCCCCTTTCACAGTTCTTCAACACCCGACTGAGTCGAGTCTCCGGAGTCGACCTGGAAGCCGAATCGACTCGAGTCTGCCTGACAAGTCCATCTTTGAATGAGATTCGGCCGAACTAAAGGTCGCTACTAAACAGAAATCGCCACATCTTCAGACAGAAACAAAGGCCAACATACCACAAACCCGCCTTAGACAGGCACCACAGGCACGACCCGATCGTCGCATACCTACCTACCTTTCTCACAACGTGGACTGGAATCCTACGACAGCAAAGCAGACCAACCCAAAAATACCCTCCATCACCAGCACATTCTTTCGCTTTCACAACAACAAAGCCCCACGACAGGATGACAGCAGGCATGGACTTCGCCCCCCTCGCATCATCCCCATAGAGCCATAGCCGCAACTTCAGCCTCTTTCCGCCGTCCATTCCCAAGGCAGATAGCCTGCCGCCCCCCATCCGCCTAGCCGGACCATCAGTCCCTTCCGCAGCTCCCAAAATCCCACGCACGAGGTCGATCACTCGCTCTCACCTCACGACGACATCCACAACTGCATCCGCATTTGCATCCTTCATCCAACCAGCTGGCTCGGTGCCAGCCCTCCGCCACGCGCAATGACGAAGGCACGGCGTGGGCCTTCACTCGTTCAGGCCCGCAGCCCTCCCGGCAACAAGAATCACAATCACCTCCATTCCTTACAAAGACGTAACATCAACACCAACCCTCATATCAACAGCAACAACGACGGCTCTGAGCCGCACCGCCAGCATCACCAGTACCACAACCGTCAGGCCCCAGATGCCGCACCAACCCCCGCTACCGATTCAGCACTCGTCACTCACGTCGTCCAGACCGTCTCCGTCATTCAGATCGTCGACGGCAACGGCGATCCTGTCCGCGTCCAGACTCAGTTTGCCGAACCTGCAACTGTGGTGGTCGACCCGGTCGCCGGCGTGACCGTCGACTATTCTGTTTACCAGGCTGGTGGTGGTATCCCAACAGCGCAGCCCGAACCTCCTGCCACCCCGGCCCCAGGAGAGGTGCAGCCAGCGTCTGCTCCCAAGCCTGCTGCCGAGCCTGCGCCGATCCCTCAGACGGATTCTCTTCCTTACCCCGAGACGAGTCCCTACCCCGAGACGAGTCCCTATCCCGAGACGAGTCCCTATCCCGAGACGAGTCCCTATCCCGAGACGAACCCTCTGCCAGAGACCGCTCCGCTCGAACCCAGCTCTGTGCTGACCCCGGCGATCCCAAGCGATGAGACAGTACCGCCTACCTTTCCCCCGACGCCCATGTCGTCTGAAGTTCCTCTAGAAAGTCAGGACCAGCTCCCGACGTCCGCTCCTTTGACCATTCCTCCTGTAGCCTTCCCAACTCGGAGCGCTGGCTCCAATTCGACAATACCCGGCTCCAAATGTGAGCATCCTTGTGGCCGTGTCGCAGACTGTCTGATGCTAATCTATCGCAGCCATACAACAGTCCCGCTATGGCAACAACAATAGCTCTTCACTGCGCCTTCTCGCCGAAACCGGCTCCGCCTCCTCGTCGCCGTATTCATTCCTTTCAAGCTCTGACGTCAGCAGTTCGAGCTTATCCACCACGACGACCAGCTACTTCACCACGACATCTTCTCTTGCCAGCTCGACTGGTGCCTCGCTCTCGGGCTTTTCCTCTACCGCTTCAGGCGCCGCCGGCGCTGGAGCTGGGGGAGGAGGGGGCTCTACCCCTTCGGCCACGGCGACACCTGACCAGGACGCCGATGAGGCGCCCGTTGAGACTGGCATGGTCGTTGGTAGCGTGGTAGGCAGTATTGCCGGCGCCGCCCTCATTGTGTTCCTCGTTCTCTTCGCCCTGAAAATGCGCAAGCGTCAACAGGGCCGCGTCATGTTAGGTGATGGGAGCAGCACCAACACCCGTGGCATGCTGATGGGTCCTAACGGTCCGTCCGGGGGCAACAACGGGGCCAGCGCTATGGTTCAGAGATCCCTGGGCCTCGGCTCCGCGACCCTTGCAGGGCTCGGCGCGAAGCGTGCCTCTCGCCAGGCTGCCGAGCAGCCCGAGGAAGCCGGCGAACGTAGTTTCTACCGGGTCTCCGGCAGAAAGCTTCCGCCCGTCCTCCAAGCTGGCGGCGATGGATACACCGACCCTCGCATGAGTGTCGTCAGCAACGACGAGTCCGTCTACTACCGTCAATCGACCACCTTCTTCGACGACCCAGCCTCCGGGTCTACAGCACCCCGACTGGCGCTGGGCTCGCCCATGCGACCTGTCAGCGGCGTGCCCATCATGCGGTCCGGCCCGGCACGCACGCCCGTTCAGGAGTCGAACCCCTTTGCCGACCCCGCGCCGCCGTCTCGCCTGATGGTTCCGCCCTTGCGGGATGCCGTCGGCCGGTCTTTGACCTCACAGGACGGCTCCAGAGGTTCAGTCTCACGGTTCACGGAAGAGATTCGATGAGGCCTCCTCGTCATCTCGTCGTCCGTTCATTCGAGTATCTTTCTGCGTCTGCTCACGTTCCGATACCAAAGAAATCTCTTCATGATTTAATACTTATTTACAACATTCAGTCGAGGTGCTGCTCATATACACGCAGCACCCTGCACTGTCTTCACGAGTGCATATGGGGAGGCGTTTTTTCCTTGCTAGTTTTCACTCTGTCACGACCGATTGGATTTGTGATTCAAAAGCGCATCGTACAGAGAGAAGAGGATGTTGTTTCGCATTCATGTCTATACTTGAGAACCGGGGGGTGGAAGTTAAGGCGGATTTTGGAAAGTCGGATACCCTGCTGTTTTGCTCTATGCGACCTTCCACACAAGCAAAGAGATTATTTGTCTTCAGGGACATGCGCAATGCTTTGTGGACTCCATGCCTATCATGTGATGGTGATGATGACTTTTTTTCAGTCGCGTACTGTTGCAGGCCGGTATGATCACCCGTCATGACCACAAATCTCCTGAGCAGACATTGCCTTGCTGCCGCAGAGCTTACCTAACGTTAACAACCTGTCGACGCCACGGACATCGAACCCTCGCGGCTCGCTTTCAAATCATCGATGTGAAGCCGACGAGCCGACGTCTCGCTCGAAAACACGCCATGTTGGCTGCCTCCGGCGCCGGCAAGCTCGGGAATAGCTTCTTAAAGACTCGAGTTTGAAGCGGTCCTTGCGACGCTGCCATGCGTATGCCTACGGCAGGAGAGGGGACTGTTCGAGTGTGACGACAGCCTCCAGTCGAGACAGTTGTGAAACGCCAAAGACGCACAACCTGAGGGATGCTGGCGCTTGGGCCCACTGGTCTACCAGACGCGTGGGTCGTGTGCTTTGCTCCAGTATGCGTGCGCTGGCTGACGGTCTAAGCACAGCCCCGCGGGCCCGCTACAGCCCGTTCCCGAGTTGAAGGTTTTCGTCCCAAGATCGGCCGCTGAACTTGTGAAACGACCTTCTCTTCGTGGCCAGCACATGGAGCCCCGAGCTCCAGCTCAGGGTTCTTCCGAAAATACTTGCCTCAAGTACGCCACATGGATAGGACAGTTGAGTGAAAGCGTTGCCGGGATTCCGAATTGACCGCACGATGGTGTTAAAGTTCAATATCCAGGGCCAATAGAGGCTCCGAGGTCATCAGAGCACTAGAGAATGACGAAGACCTCGAGAGCGCGTGGTTTTCGTTTCAATGACCATGCTTCTCAGGGAAGTCTGTACAGGTCCGTGAGCAAGCTCCATCTGGCGGGTCCCGTCCAGTCCATGCTCGGACTGACTGACAATGAGAACCGCGATTGATTTGCGCATCCGGGGGCTCTTTCACGGGGTCAAGACACTCCAGCACGAACCCCTCAGGGTCGAGGTGAGTTGAACACGAATCTCGAGAATGATATGGATGCAATGCCTGGTGTCAAGAAAATCATGCCATGTCGCGACAGGCCGTGCCATTCTGAACGAGCAGGTTCCGAACCCGAGAGCGCTTCCGCTCAATTGGGAAGCGATGCCCAGCGTTCTCGAAGAACAGGAAAACGGAGAAAGTAATGGCAGAAAAAGAGGGTCTTGGCTGTGTCTTGAACAGATGCAGGGGTAACTTTAGGCGCGCAACTTGCCCACCGTGGATCGAGTCGAACATTCCAAATCATCTGCGCCCATCTGTTGATGTAGCGGTAGTGAGTGAGGCAACGTGAAAGTCATTGGTCGGCCAGCTGGTCAGGGACTCGAACTTAATAGATGAGGCAACACAAAAACCATAGAACGTCGCTTGATGTCTTGAGATGGGTGGTGTTGGCGAAAGAAAAAGCAGCTGCGTGCTGTGTCTGGCCCGAGTCTAGGCGACGGGATGATTCACAAGGAGGGGCTGAGTTGAGTACCGTCGAGGGCAATCTGACAGGGGAAGGGGCCATTGAGAGAGGAGGGGGAAGCAGAAGGGGGTAAAGGGCTGGGGGGCTTACCAATCGTCGGGTAACAGCTGGGCCCCGCGACTGTAGATCTGAGATGTTGTGAAAGATCGTGCTTTGGTCTGAAGCAGGCTTCGGTGAAGCAAGCGGCAAGAGCTAACCAAGCGTGCTGTAGAGAGGCCACCACACCTGCCGTCCCCCCGTGGAAGTTACCATGTACAGCGAGGCGAGGCGGCTGTTCATGTCGGGGTTCGTGGGCAGGTGAAGCCCGAAAGCCCACAAGCCCGGCAAATGGGGCGGGACTGCACGCAGATCGACCCCAGTCGCAGCGTGGGTCAGGCAGGCATGAGCACCTACATGGTGCAGGCGCAATTGCAAGTGGGGTGGGGATCAAGGCCACCCACATCACCCACTGGTGAGGTGCTCCTGCTGCACACAGCAGGACCACCCCCTTGGCCTCGGCCCCCCCTCCCCTAGCCCCTTCTACCCCCCCGATGAGGCGAGCGTACATGTAGCTAGGTAGCCCAGCCATGGGCACGTCCAAATGTGAGGCACACCACACGATTCCCGTTCCCGCCAGGCGTCATCCCATCCCGGACTTCCCGTCACGTCCTCTCCCGATCCTGAATCTTCCCTCCTAGTAATCTTGCTTCTGTTCGACATACCGCCTGCCTCACCCTCGTTCACGCCTGCATCTGTCTGTCGCTTCCACGCGATCCGTATATCCACGAGCTATAAACCTCCACACATTACGACAAGCACCCATCTCACCCAGCGTACCTACTCGATCTGACCTGTGCACGCATCTTCTGCCCAGGAGCGTGGCCCGATCGATCGTCCACTTCGCCAAAGCTCATCCGTCGCCTCAGCACTTTTGACTCTTCCAGATCGTCCCCTTCACATCAACGCCCTGTAATCAATGCGCCCACAATCAAGACATTGAAGACGTCTCCTTCACCGTCGCACTCTCCACGATTTTCTCTACTTCGATTGCCTGCGATCGCCCCAACCGTCTGATCTCAATTCGCTCCCAGAATACAATTCCCACCGCCCGGTCACTCCATCGAATCGCACGCCATGGATCGCATGGGCTTTCAGATGCCTCACATGGGGCATCCGCCACCCATGATGAACCCCCCACCTCAAATATTCGGTGGTTACACACCCGACGGCATTCCGATTCAACACCTACCACCGGACCTTGCAGCTCAGATGTTCCCCGACCATTCAACTCTGCTCGATGACGCGAATGAAGCGAAAAGGAGAAGGATCGCAAGAGTAAGTGGCTCAAACAGTGAAAGCTCTAACGGGCCATATTGTTGTCCGAACCTCAACGCTGACAGACTTGCGGCGCAAAGGCTTGTGACATGTGCAGGAAAAAGAAGATCAAGTGCGATGGCAAAATGCCTGCGTGCAGCCACTGCATCAACTACAAGACGGAGTGTATTTTCACACAGGTCGAGAAAAAGCGTACCCCTCCCAAAGGGTAGGTTGTGCTCCACGACGGAAAGCTTATCTTGCGTTGGCCCCTCCCTCTTATTAGATACGCGAACTGATCACAGCGTTGCACAGCGCAAAGTACATTGAGGGTCTCGAGAATCGACTGGGTCGTATGGAAAACTTGCTGAGGCTATCAGGTTAGTGAAACGGGCCTGCTTCGGACGAAGTCAAGCATTTTGCTGACATGGGCATAGGTCTGCTCGATGAAGATGAGAACGGCGAGATGGACCTCGGCACCCTGGAGAAAAAGCTGGCTGAGAAGCACCAGCAGTCTAGGCAGGCCTCACAGGCCGCCTCAAACCCCTCATCGCCCTCTTTAGCCGCGTCTGCCACTCTTCGAGAAAGCACATCCACCCCGCAAAGCTCCCTTACCTCCCCCGAGCCCTCAAAAGAATCCGAGAGGCGCAAGTCTACCGTTTCTGAGGCCCCCGAAAAAGAGACGGGCGAGGGAGAAGGGGAGGTGGAGGAGCTATCTGAGATGATGTGCTCGCTCGTGACCAACCAGTCTGGCGAGACCCGATACATCGGCTCCTCCTCAGGATTCTCTATCTTCTCGCCCAAAGGTATTCAATGGGTGAATGAAAAGACTGGCGACAACTCTTTCCAGCAGATGATCTCGGAGGTCTCGATTGACGACCACAAGTGGACCAACTGGAAGCCAGAAATCTTCAGCGACCTCTTCCGCCGCCCGATTTTCCGACCTTTACCACCCAAGGCTGAGGCTCTGTCGTTACTGAAGGACTTCTTCGAGAACTTCAACTGCATGTTTCCACTCTTCCACCAGCCGACCTTTATGCACCTGGTCGAGCGTCAATACTCCAATGACCCTTACGAGGGATCGGGATGGTGGGCCAGTCTCAACTGTGCTTTGGCCTTTGCCCATCGATTGCGGGTTATGAGCAATCTCGTGCCCCAAGAAGAAGATGACAAGGCGTGGGCATACCTGAAGAACGCCATGGCTATCTTCCCCGAGTTGACGATGCGTAACACCGACCTACTGACAGTCCAGGCCTTGTTGGCAATGGCGCTTTTCCTGCAAGGCACACCGAACCCGCAACCGACCTTCATCCTCGTAGCCACTGCGATCCGACTTTCCCACTGCATCGGTCTGCACAAGCGTGGCACAGGTTTTGACCTCAATCCCATCGAGATTGAGCAACGCAAGCGCGTATTCTGGATCGCGTACATGCTCGACAAGGACTTGTGTCTTCGCGCCGGCCGTCCGCCTGCTCAAGACGATGGTGATATGAACGTTGAGCTACCGGATGCCGACCCTTCGGATAACATCGGCAACATCCCCCTAGCCGACGGCAAAGGGAAAATGAACCTTTTCAGGGTGATGTGTGAATTTGCAATCATCGAGGGCAAGGTGTACAACCGACTTTACGCCACACAAGCGGCAAAGCAATCCCCTGGTGAACTCCTCAACACTATTGGAGAACTCGACAAGGAGCTCGAGGACTGGAAAGACAGGATCCCAATTGATTTCCGTCCAGAGCACGAGATCAAGGCCTCACACACGCCACTGATCCTGCATGTTATTATGCTTCATCTCACTTACTACAACTGCTTGACGACGA